GGTGACCCAGTTGGAGCCCCTGAGGGTACTAGAGTTGAGAAGAAAGAGTTAAGAATTTGAGAAGACAAGATGGTTGCAGTTCATAAATCTGAGCTGTTTCTCTAGGACCCTTATTTTGGTTCTGATATGCACCTCTAAAGACTAATGACAAAGGAACTGAAAAATCTTCTCACACATTTAAGAGCGCTTTGGAATGGACCTTTGCATACACAGCTGTTGAAGATTCCAGCCTAATTTTAAAATAGGCAGTTCTTTTGTTGAAATACAGGAGGACTCTGCAAACTCTGGATAATAAGCACTTACCAGTTACATGATTTCTGGGTATTTTCCCTTTCTACTTATTTTCATTTCCATTTGATGATCACTCCTTCTGAGGTACAAAAGTCCAATTATCTATTTGTTCTTGCTGTTCATGCCTTTGGTGTCATGCTTTTAAACCCAATGGGGGATCAGAGCTCCTTAAGATTCATCTATTTTCATCTATGCATTTCATGGTTTTAGCTTTTTGGTTTGTGTTAACTAGTCCATTTTGAGTTGACTTTTTGACTATTTTGTGAAGAAGTTGGAATTTATTTCTATGAAAGTCACAGCAGTTAAAAGGGCAAAAGCACCCAACCACCATGAAGTCAGTGAAGATCCTGAACTAACCAGGCTTCCATTCCCTAAGCCAGCCATTCTTAAACCTTTGGCTGTGGGAAAAACTGCCTGCCTAGAATCCCAGCACTGAGGGCTGAGGCAGTAGGATCAGTAGTTCAAGGTCATCCTTGGCATTACAGGCAAGTTTTATGCCAGCCTGGAATTACAAGACACAAAAACAAAAACAAACAAATCACACAATATCTTAAAAGAGCTAAGTAAGCATTAACTATTTGGAATTTAGGTCAGTGCAGTACTTAACATTTTATGATTATATAATTCTATCAAAAAACTAATGAAACCTATCAAAAAAACCCAAAAAAAACCCAAACTAGCATTCTTATACACAGAATTACAAAAACAGTACTCTTTATTTAATAACACATTAGAAAATACTGTTTAAATAATAGCTTTGCTTAATCCTCTAAATTCTTCTAAGAATTCAAAGTTCCATATACCAAACAACAAATTTTTCTTGGAAGTGTAAGAAAGAAAGTTGTGTTTTGGTGTTGTCTACTTTGGTTGATACAGGAAAATATAACATTATCATATAGTCATATCAAATGTCAGGGTAAAGCAATATATTTATGTAATAATATGTCAAAGTGATATATTTAATTTTATGAAATGGGATGAAGTAATATATTATCACACAAAGTCAGTCAGAGTAATGTAGTATCACCATATGGTACAGGTCAGAACAATGTAGTATTATCTGATGGAATGGGTCCTGTGGAGGTTTAAATAAGAGTGGCCCCCATAGAATCATATATTTGAATTCTTAGTTGCTAAGAAGTGAAATTCTTTGAAAGGATTAGAAGGTATGAACTTATTAAAGGAGGTGTATCACTAGAAGTGAGATTTGAGGTTTCAAAAGGCCACAGCAGGCTCAGCATCTGTCACTCTGTCTCTGTCGCTCTGCTTATGGATCAGGACATAGCTCTCAGCTACTCCTCTAGCACCATGTCTGCCTGACAACATGATAACTGAGCCTCTAAAACTGTAAGCAAGCCCCTAATTAAATGCTTTTGTTGTTGTTGTTGTTAGTGTTGCCTTGGTCCTGGTGTTTTGTTTTGTTTTGTGCCCCAGCAAAAGAAGAGTGACTAAGAAAGCCAGGATAATAAAGTATTATCCTGTGAAATGAGTCAGGATAATGCAGTATCATCAGATGGAATGATGTGATGTAATGCAGTATCATATGGAATGGAGAAGGATAATGCAGTATTATCCTATGGAATGAGTGAGGGTAATGTACCGTTATATAGGATGGCCTGAGCAATAGAGTATTGTCATTTGGGATGGTGCAGTTATCTGCAGCCTTTTGTTTTAGTGGATATGTTTTAGTAAAAATAGTTCGGAATACAGAAACTTAACTTAAGCAACCATATAGCTAGATATAAGGATGGATGGATAGATAGACAGACAGACAGAAGGCAGGCAGGCTGGTGGTTAAAAACGACTGCTGCCACACCTGAGGATCTGAATACTATCCCTGGGACCCACAAGGCTGAAGGGCAGAACCAACTCTCACACGTTATCCTTTTACCTCTGCACCCAGGCCATGTCATGTGCAACCTATACACACATGGGTCCTTTCACACATAAAATGTAACAAACATTGTAAGTCCCTGCTTATAGCATTTAATGCTCAAAGTATGATTTCTCGGTTTCCTTGATGAAAAAAAAATCTGTGGTATTTTCTCTGCAACATACTACCTGTTGCTTCAAAGTGAATGAACAGAGGAGAACTTGAGTTGGTAAAAGACTGTTTCTACATAGGTAACATTCGGCATACCTCTCCTGCTTTGTAATGTTTGAGAATTGAAAACTCTACTGAAACGATTTTTTTCAGGACAGCTTCCAAGTGTAACTCACACAGGCAAAGATGGGTCAGTAATGCTGCTGATGCGACAAGTGAGGAAAGGACATGAAACAGATCCAGGAGCTGCAGCAGGGTTTGCAGCAGGGTAGAAAGATTTCAGACGCAGGGATAAGTACTACAGTAGCCTCAGGTTACAGAAGCTTTGGAACCTACTTTCCTTTGAAACATAACCATCAGCTTTGTCATTCCTAAGATTTTAAATTACCATTTGGAAAGGTAAAGGAATCTGGGCTTTGTTCTAAATTCAATCTCTAGCCCTGGGTATCCAAGCTACCCAGAAGGAGGGGTGGGGGATGGGCATGGTTATTATTCTATTAATGAGATAATCTACTTTCCCTTCTCAGAAGCCTCCTTGGTGGAGCCTCAGCTTGCCTACTGAGTTAGGACTCAAAAAGCATGGCCTTTTGTTTTTCTTTTCTTTGTCCCTCTTTTGGGTACTGGCCAAAGGCTAAGCTACTTTTCTTGGCATGCTGGGCCTTTTCACTGTTTTTCTGAACCTCCTCTCCCCTTTATCCATGTGACTGCTTATAAGCAGAATGGCTTTCTGTCTTTCCTTCTTTTGCCTTCACCTGGCAGTGTAAAGTCTGGCAGGAATCAATCTATCCTAATGAGACACTTGTGCCCCCCTCTTTGGCCATCAGACTATTGAAAGAAAGGACCCCAAGAGATTAGAATTGCCCCAGGAACTTCCTTCTGGGATTAGGAAAGCCTTTTATAAAGCCCGCAGGGTAGCTAAAGGAGGAACTTGCTTGCTTAAAGAGAGATTGACAAGTGACCTTGCAGGAAAAGACCTGCAGCAAAGACTTGGCAAATAGACCACTACACCTGGCTAGACTGCTTAATTATCCGTATTTCTTGCCTTCTTACCTAAACCTCACGGTCAAGCATTTGGAGGTGTTGCTGTATCCTTTTGTCCCTCTTCTCAGTGTCCTCAGATTGAATAAATCTCCTTATTACAATTTTTATTATTAATTTGACTCTTTTTAATTGGCTTAACTGAGGAGAGGTGACTGAACCAGGGTTGTTAGGGCACAGGCCTTGACCCCTAGTCTGGTTACAACAGCTGCAGAAATTTACATCCTGTCTGCTGTGTTGTTTTTCTCTTAAAGACTAATAAAACTGTTCTTGAGATGCCTTTTGATTCCCTGCCTAACTTCTTTTATTAAGGAGACTATGAGCCCAAAATGGGACCTCAGTTTCCTTGGTAACATGGGGCAGTGTGTAGTGAGGAAACCTCTGGCCTGCAGGTGCATGGGGGCAGGTCTAGAGGGAATAGGCACATCCAGAGTCTTTTTTTTTTCAATGTCTCCCAATTAGAAATTTATTAGGAAATTTATTAATAATTCCCTCTCTTGCCAAGTACCTGACTGGGCAGATATCCCATCCTAACAGAAGAAACAGAGATGTACTGGTACTAGATTCCAAGGAGTAAATTACTAAACGTCTTGGCATAGCCACTTGATGTCATCTTGCAGGTACAGTAGGGCCTGACTGCTGTTCTGATAAACTATTACCAGTTCTTTTGGTTTTATTTATTTAATATAAATACAGTCCGGGTGAGTGAGCTTGACACAGTATGTACAGGTAGAAGTTGGAGAACAAATTTCAAGACTTAGTTCTTCTTTTTTCACCTTGGCAATTCTGAGAACCAAACTTATTTCTTCACCCTTACCAGCAAGCGCCCTTGCTACTGAGCAATTTCACTGACCTGTCATGTCCTAGGGGAAAAATATCCCTACCTCTATTATGCTTTTCTTCATGTTTATGTATCTGTGTGAATGTATGTGAATGTTTCTGTGTGTGTTTGAAGTTGTTGGCAGTACTTGTGCATGTGGTATGGAAGCCAAAGCTGACACTGGCTGTCTTCCTCATTTACTCATTTATTCATTTCTATTTTATGTATATGAGTGATTCACCTGCATGGATAGCTCACAAAATCTAGAATTCCCTGGAAATGTAGTTCCAGATGGCTGTGAGCTACCACATGGGTGCTGGGAGTTAAACCCATGTCCTCTGGAAAAGCAGTCAGTGCTCTGAACCACTGAGGCATCTTTCTAGGTCATAATCTCTATTCACCAAGGCAAAGCTCCTCACTCACCCCTGGACTGGCTGTTGTGGTCTGGTTACTGTACCAGCTTGTTGCAGGATTTCCTGTCTCTTCCTCTTAGGCCTGAGATTACTGTAGGATCCTGGGCTGACCTGGCCTCTCCTTGGGTTCTGGGAATCTGAACTCCGTTTTCAGGCTTTTACAGCAAGCACTTTTACCCACTTAGTCATCGCTGAAGCCCCATAATTTGTTAAACTACATTGTAGGTCAACCTATATTTTGGAATGACAAAATAACGGAAAGACACAAACACATACACTGAGAAAGCACGCCTATCAGCTTTGTGCAAGTGAGCCATCTGAAGGGAAGGCGTGCGCCGTGCACCAAGAGTGTGGCACGGTGGTCCAGGAGTTGTCAGGTACATTTTAAACTTACGTCGCTGAGCCTCTCGCGAGAGCTGCTCCGGTGGAAGGCCTTGGATTCTCCGCTGGCACTTTCGCTGTCACTGTCCCTGCAGCTGTTCTGTCCTGGTTTGAGCTGAAGGTGAAAGAGAAAAGCAAAACAGAAGAAAGTCAGCGGTATCCTTGCACATACATTTCTTGGATTGTGATCTGTGAGCCCTGAGGATGACAATTTAAAGTTCTGATCCTCAACATTCTATTTAGTTGAAATTTAAAAAAGTTTAAGTTTGTATGTGTATGTGTGTATATGTCTGAGTGTGCATTTGAGTGTACGTATGTATTTGTGTGTGTATATATGTGTGTGTATGCATGTCTATGTATGAGTGTATGTATGTATGTGTATGCATCTGTATGTATGCATGTGTGTATATGTGTGAGAATATATGTATGACTGTCCATGTGTGAATGTATGTATGTGTGTTTATACGCATGTATGAGCATATGTACGCATGTGTGTGTATTTATGTGAAGTGTGAATGTATGTGCATATATGTGTGTGCATGTGTATGCATGTGAGTGCGTGTATGTCTGTGTATGTGTGTACATGTGTATGCATGTGTGTGTATATGTATACTCACATATGAGTGCAGTGCTATGGAGGCCAGAAGAGGGCACTGAATCTTCTGAAGCTGAAGTTACAGGTGGTTGCTGTGAGCTGCCTAACCTGAGTAGTGAGAAGCAAACTCGGGTCCTCTGCTAGAGCAGTACATGTCTTTAACTACATCTCCAGAACCACATATTTAGCTGTTTATTTTACACAGGTATCCCAGATGACTCGGAATTTATCATGCAACTGAGGGTAATTTCTGATCCTTCTGTCTCTACTCCCCTTCCTTAACATCCTACCTAATTCTTTGTGGTGTGTGTGTGTACGTGTGTGTATAAGTCTTTTACACAGGGTCTCATGTAACTAAATGACCTGGAACTGCTTCTGTATCTAAGGGTGACTTCCTCCATCCATCCCTGACTAGCTGGATTACAAACATCAGCATTATCACCTGGTGTTATCCAGCACTGGGGATGGAGTGCAGGGCCCTGTGCATACTGAGCAGACACTCTCCCAGCTAAGCCATACTCCTAGTCTTGTGGCATGATAGACTGGCCATCCTTCAGCCCTCACCTGAGTCCATCTCACCCACAGAGGCAATATCCCCTAACACCCAAATAGAACATTCTTACTTGCAACATCTCAATAAAGCCATTTTTTATTACTTTCTTCTAAACTGTGTTTCCCAGGAAGTCTTCTCTAATAGAGCTCAGAAAATAGTGCTAATTTCACTTTCTATCCTCCTGGGCCCTTTATGGACTGAGTTTTATTCCACACTAATGTGAAATTTACTAATTCAAACCTAATTCAGATGCAAGCTGCATGGTGTGTTATAGGTCAGAATAGCATCCTTTCAAATGTTCGCCTCTCAATCTTCGTAAATCAAGGATTTGGGGGCTGGGATGTAGCTCAGTAGGAAGGGTGTACACCTTTAAATGTGAGCTCTTATCAAACGGGCTTCATCTCTGGCCCTATTAATTATGATACATTAAAAAGCTCATTACATTTATTTTTTCCTGTATGTGCACACTATGGAGAAGGCACACATGCCTCACTGTATTTATGGAGGGCAGAGGATAACTTGAGGGAGGCAGTTCTCTCCATCAACCATGTGGGTCCCAGGAATGAAACACAGGTCTGCAGGCTTGCTGGAAAACTGCCTTTACCAGCTTGAGCCCTCTCACCCACCTTAATTTTTCCAAGTGCAAAAAGGGAGTAATATTGCAATAGTCATACTGACCATCACCCTGTAAGTAGACATACGCTCTGATTCAAAAGCAGCATCAGAACTCTTATTCTTGATTGGCAATATAGTTCACTCATAGGATAATTGCACAAAACCCTGGGTTTGATCCTTTGTATTTCAGAAACCCTGCCAGGTAACACACATACCTGTAATCCCAGTGCTGGGAAGGGGAGGCAGGGCTAATGGTAGTTCAAGGTCATCCTTGCTACACAGTGAGCTCAAGGGCAACCTGAAACACATGAGGCCCTGTCTCAAAAACAAGATAAGACAGGACGTATTATTTAACTGACTCTTTCATAATAGGATGAGGAAAACAGGAATGAGGAATGAGCAAACAGGAAGGATGAGCTCAGAGTTAGGCCAAAATCTTGAACCCAAACTCGTGATTCTATTGCTGTTTGCTAACTGGTTGACTACTCAGTGCCCAGTTAGAGGTTCACATAGAACACACAAGTCACAATTCTGCAGGGTATTACCATTTCCTTTCTATTTTAGCATATGTGGGGTGATGGCTTATCTTGCAAGGATTTAGTTCCTTGAATCTACATGGTAGAAGGAAAGAAACTATTCCTTCAAGCTGTCCTTTAACCACCGTGTGCACCCACACATGCTCACAAATAAACAACTGTAATTTAAAATTGAAAAAAAAAAAGAGTATCATGGAATATTCCTAATATACAACCAGCTTAACAAAACCTAGACACTGCAACTAGTCCCTTTACCATGCTTCTTTCATGAACGGGAAATTATTTTATAACGAGACTCACAACAGTCTTCAGAGGCTCAGATGTCAATTATCTGACTAAATGTTGATCTGGGCTGAGGGCAGAACCCAAGGAGGAAGGCAAGGAATCGGCCTGCTTGCATTCTCGAGGCCCTGACGGCAAACACACTTAAGTGAATTCTGTTTGGAGAACTGAACATAAAATCCACACCTCATGCTACCCCTTTTTCTTCCAAAGCCCGGCTCAAGTTTAAAGGAAACTTAGGATTTTAAGCTGTCAGCCAGCTCAATATTTCAAAGACACAGACTGACTACCCTAAGCACTAAAGCTAAACCACAAGATCTCAGGGAAGATGTGCTCATTCCTAATCCCACGAATATATTTCAAGCTGGTATTTTCAGCCACAACCAACGGATCATCTTGGGGTAGCATAAGTAGCTGAGAAGTTGTAATCCTTTGCCTGGAATTCCCAGCTATTACTTACAAGCAGGAGACACCACAAAGGCCAGGTGCGAGCTTAAACATTTAAAGACCTGAGAAAAATCAATCTGCTTGCATTGATTTGTCCCAACATCCACGGTGGCCAGCATGAGAAAGCTTTTGCTGTAACACGGGCAGTGAGAAATCTGCAATGCCAGCTTTACATTTTATGACTGTGTTTACATAAAAATTTCTGTAACCCATTCTCTAATTTCACTGGAGACAACTGAATTAGACCAAACTAAACAAAATGAGGGAATGAGAATCTAGTATGGGTGGTGTTAATTCTATCAGCGGAGTTATCTTTTATAAAACATAAGACGCCAAGTTTTCTTTTCATTAGATTTCATTGTGGAAAACATGTTCTCTGTATTCTGGTACTGTGATCTCAGGAGTGTGTCAACTGTTATTAATGGCTGGAATGGTTAATCTTCATTGTCAACTTGATGGGATTTAGAACTACCTAGGAGACAAGCTTCTGGGCAGGCCTGTGATGGAGTTTCTAGACTGGGTTAACTGAGGGAAGAAGTCCCACCAAGAATACAGGCAACAACAGTCATAGAATGAATAAAAAGGAGAAAATGAGAAGGGGCTGGCGTGATGGCTCATTTGATAAAATGCTTGCTACACAAGCATGAGGACCTAAGTTTGGATCCTAAGATCCTAAGTAGAAAGCCAAGCACGATGACATACCCTTCTAATTCCAGGGCTGTGAACGCAGATGCAGTAGGATCACTACGAGATTTCCTGGCTAGCCAGTCTTGCCAGATTGGCAGGTTCTAGTTCAGTGGAAAAAGTCAGGGGCGGGGGGAGAGACTACAATTCTAGACACTGTTTTGGTGATGTGCCTACATACACTTAAGGCCAATGATTTTGCCACTGCCATTCTATCAGAAACTGAAATTCACAAAACTGCTTCTACTTGACCAATATATAGATGATTCAACATTCAAAGCCATTCAATGGACTTCAGAGTATGGAAAGGCTAGAAGGTTAATACAATGAGAGGAAAATGACCCAAGATCAATCTCATTGCATGGTTGTGAGAATAAACAAGAAGAAATTGGGCAATCAGAACTATCCTACTAATTCTGACATCTACCAGCAGGTAGAGCAGAAGTTCCATCACACATCAGGGATCATAGAAGCACAGTACAGAAAGCACACAACTCCCATAATAAGTATGATGCAGAGACACAGCTCTCACCCCGAAGATGATGAGATATAGCTCATTCTAGAGCCAATTGTGGCTGACCATATACTGTGAAATGAACTTAGGTTTCCCCAAATTCCGCATTCCAACATGGTAACAGTTTGATGAAGGTTTTATTTTAACAAAATAAAGGTCATAATGGAAAGTATTTTTCAAATACAGTGGTAGAAGCTTCAGATGGGTTAGAACAAAGCACAGAAATCGTGACTACTGGCCTAAGATGCCATCTGAATGGGTCCTTCATCTTGATTGACAGAAACTAGAGATATGTTTGTACATTCCAAAGGATTTACCTAATGTTTGCTATGTTAGAGAGGACCCAGATGTAGAGGGGAGCAGCAAATGGCTATTAAAAAGGCTACAGATGGCCCAAGATGATTTGGCTCTGGATTTGCAAGATGGCAACTTCTCCACATCACTGAAGTTCTAATCAGTTAAGCAGACAGTTTTAGAAGGTTCAGTGACAGGTGCCCTTCTTTTCAGACACTTTCCTTGCACATGTGAATTCAGGATGAACAAAGGAGGGAAGAACAGAGCTGAAAAGATAGTTGAGATACCTCAGTCAGCTGCCATGGAGCGAGCTTACTTTGTACTAAATCTCAGCAAAGAAGGGAATATTTCTAATATTGCAGATATTTAAAACTGGCTAAATTCTCATATTAAGGAAGTGTGTATGTGTGTGTGTTCAGCAAAGAGGCACAGCCTTTTAGATGTACATTTGCAACAGTTATGGATGGAATCCCTTGGTGTGTGGTGTGGGATGCACTTCTCAAACATATCAGGAAGTAAGGAGAGCAGGATCTATAGATGGAGGACAGACAGACAGATAAAATGATAGTATCTAGGACTTAACTATTGAGGTTAC